ACCGGACAAACAGTAGGATGATGCAACTAAAAGCAGAATATAAAGAAGTGAGGGATGACTCTAAGATTTAGCACACACAAAAAGAAGGAAAAAAARGGTGATACTGGAGTGATCAAAGAAAGAGGGACGCAGACAAAGCAGTGTGAGAAGAAGTGAAACAGAGACKGAAAGAAATACAGAGGGGATATATTTAGAGGGAAAGAGGGAGAGAGTTTCAGCCTCCCAGCTAGAGGCATGACTCATCTTCTGCCAGCTGACACGAGGATGGATGGAGACAAGGAGGAGGGAGATGGACAGAGTCTGAGGAGGGAGGAGGAGGCAATGGGAGAGCAGGCGTGACCGAGTCAGGCGAGGGGAAAGAGAAGGGAGGACGCCTAGAAGGGACGAGCTGGAAGAGGAGTGAAGACAAATGAAAACAGGAGGGGTTTTCACAGCTGTACGAGGAAAATAAAATAAAAAAAATAAAAATAAAAAAACAAAGAGGCAGATTTAAACCCCACAGCTTCTCTAAGCTGCTTCAGTCCAACTGCGTGTCCCTCAGGGTGTGTGACAGAGACGAGACAAAATAAGCAGTAAATCTTCCCCCTGGCAGCTGCGTTTGGCAGGGTGTTGCTGCACGTGTCTTTATGATTAATAGATATGAACAGAAAAAGACTGACAGGAAGAAAGAAGCAGATTATAAATTAAATTGGAGGCTTCGAAATCTCAAAGGAAGTAAATTTTTACTTATTTTCTTAAAGTGTGTTTATATAGAAATGAGAATAACTGCAGCTTCTCTGGTAAACCTTAAGTTTGCACGTCTCTAAGCCGTTCCTTTAATGGWCAATCAGTTTGACACTCATTTCCAGAATGAATGTTTTACGTCTCTGGCTCCAGCAGCTTCCAGAGGATGGGCTCAGCTGGTTCCTGCAGCTGGTTTCCCTGCAGGAGAGAGGGAGCTGGCTGCGTCTCGTCTTCATGACTGGCACTGGAGGCAGTTAAAGTGAGGCTGCTGTTAATCCAGAGAGGAGCTGCAGACTTTCTCAGGCGTTGCTCCCTGTTGCATGGCTATTGCTCATATCCTCCAGGGACGTGCTCCCTCCTCTTTCTGCTCCTCTGTATCCTTTACATGGACCCTCCCGCCCTCGCTCGTTTTTTTTTTCCCCCACTCCCACTTTCTTTTTATTTTTTTATTTTACTTTGTCCAAGTTGTGCCTCTGTGCCCTCACCCCCACCCTGCACGTTTTTTTTATTTTTTATTTCTCTTCCTTTTGGTTGCAGTGACGGTTGAACTGCTCCTCCTTGTGTCTGAACAGGAACATCACAAGTTCAACCATCAGTCTCGTGTTTTCACTGGACAAGTGAAACGTGCACAAATTAGATGCACATCTACAACCCGTTAACTTTTGGAGGCCTCTTCATTCAAGACGGCTGCCACAATCATCCCKCAAAGAAAGAAACAAAAATGGCTACAACTCAGTYGGTTTTGCACATTTTCAGCTAAACTTAGTGTTAGTAGCTGAAAATCATTGTTAAAGTATACACTAAGCACTAATAGGTTGTGATAAAACCTTCGCTTTAAATGTCAAAATATCTAATGGACATGTTTTAATGAAACCTTCAGGAAATAACCACTGACATTGTGTATGGCTGTCACAGATCATTCACAAGACAACACAAAAGTTTCACACATGTTGAGCTAAAATTTGTAGATAAATTCTTTGAAATTTGTACTAAAATGTCTATAACCTGAATTTTCCTTGTTTTAATGCTGAAATGTCAATCTAAAGAAACTAAAGGTTTTATTTTACAGCCCGAAAATTCAAATCAGAGTCATTAACACACGATTTATATGAGGGGGGTGCACAAAATATTTTGCTTGACTTTCATTGTAAGGGCTACGTGATTTGATATTTCTTATTTTTAGATGTCAGCATTGATATAATTTTAGTATTTTTACTCATTTCTGAYTATTATAATGCTGTTCAGCAGATGGCGCTGTGTGTCTGTATTTCCCTTCAGGTCTGAGTGATGGTTGTCTTAATGTTATCAGATAAGCTGTAAATGAACCCTGTGATGTTTGATAAGGCAAGTCTTAGATCAACGTTTACAATTAGAAACTCATGTATTCTGATTTAAATGTGGCCTTTGAGTTAAAGTTTTTAAGTAAGGGTTAATAGTGTTTCGTACACGTGGACTTCCTCTTATATGCATTATAATCTAGTTCAGTTTCAGCAAGACAATTGCTTGACATACAGCGGGTAAAATAAGTATTGAACACGTCATCATTTTTCTCAGTAAATATATTACTAGAGGTGCTAATGACATGAAATTTTCACCAGATGTTGGTAACAACCCAAGTGATCCATACATACAAAGAAATCAAACCATAAAAGTCCAGAAATGAAGTTATTTGTAACAATGTGGAATGGCACAGGGAAAAAGTATTGAACACATGAAGAAAGGGAGGTGTAAAAAGGCATGGAAAGACAAGACACCAGCTGAACTCTCTCAGTAATTAGAAAGCAAGCCTGCCCCTTGTCAGTGCAAGTTAATATCAGCTGGTTCAGTCCCAAATGATGGCCAGGTATCACACAAGAACCATCTGAYGATGGGTAAAAGTAAAGAGCTCTCTCAAGACCTTCACAACCTTATTGTTGCAAAGCATAATGATGGCATCGGTTACAGAAGAATGTCTAAACTTCTGAAGGTTCCAGTGAGCACTGTTGGGGCCATAATTCAGAAGTGGAAAGAACATTATTTCACCATAAACCGACCACGACCAGGTGCTCCTCACAAGATTTCTGACAGAGGAGTGAAAAGAATTATCAGAAGAGTTGTCCAAGAGCCAAGGACCACTTGTGGAGAGCTTCAGAAAGACCTGGAATTAGCAGGTACGATTGTTTCAAAGAAAACAATAAGTAATGCACTGAACCACCATGGCCTGTATGCACGCTCACCACGCAAGACTCCAYTGCTGAAGAAACAGCATGTTGAAGCTCCTTTAAAGTTTGCTGCACAACATTTAGACAAGCCTGTGTAATACTGGGAGAATATAGTCTGGTCAGATGAGACCAACACTGAACTGTTTGGATGCCAGAATACACATCATGTTTGGAGGTCAAATGGCACTGCACATCAGCCCAAAAACACCATACCAACAGTGAAGTTTGGAGGTGGGAACATCATGGTGTGGGGCTGTTTTTCAGCATATGGTACTGGCAAACTTCAAATAATTGAAGGAAGGATGAGTGGAAAAATGTACAGAGACATTCTTGATAAAAATCTGCTTCCATCTACCAGGATGATGAAGATGAAACGTGGCTGGACATTTCAGCAAGACAATGAGCCCAAACACAAAGCCAAGGAAACTCTCAGTTGGTTTCAGAGAAAGAAACTAAAGCTGCTGGAATGGCCCAGCCAATCACCTGACCTGAATCCAACAGAAAATCTATGGAAAGAACTAAAGATCAGAGTTCATAGAAGAGGTCCACGAAACCTTCAAGATTTGAAGACTGTTTGTGTGGAAGAATGGGCCAAAATCACACCTGAGCAATGCATGCCACTAGTTTCTCCATACAGGAGGCGTCTTGAAGCTGTCATTGACAACAAAGGCTTTTGTACAAAGTATTAGATAAATTTCAGTAAGTGTGTTCAATACTTTTTCCCTGTGCCATTCCACATTATTACAAATAACTTCATTTCTGGACATTTATGGTTTGATTTCTTTGTATGTATGGATCACTTGGGTTGTTACCAACATCTGGTGAAAATTTCATGTCATTAGCACCTCTAGTAATATATTTACTGAGAAAWATGGTGACGTGTTCAATACTTACTTTACCCGCTGTATGCTGAAACTTCTCAGTTGCTAACAACAGTTGATTGTAAAAATAAATTGGTAGATTTTTTAAAACATTTGATATGTTTAATGGGAATAAAATGTGGTTTTATGAAATGTGTATTTTATTTTTATTTAAAAGTTTATCTTTTGGCCACAATGTGTGGATTAAAGTTGTGAAACATTTTCATAGGTCTTAAAGCAACAACGGTCCAAAGGAACTCATTACTTCTGGTGCTTTATGAACACTTCGATCAGCTTCTCTGGATTTTAGGGGCCCCCCTGTTCCAGACCTTTAGATGTGGATGCAGTCTTTAGAGAAGCACTGAGTCAGATCAAAGAGGTTCACCGCCCACCGACCCCAGTGCAGTTTGTCTTATAGACCTGCTCATGAATCGAGGGGAGCTCGCTTCAACGCGCCTTTTCTTTCCCACCGGACCCTCAGGACTCCTGACCGTCTGCATGGGTATAACCGTGCCTAAATGTGTGTGTGTGTCGCCCTTTTCTTTGCCCAATCCGAAGCGTGGAAGGATTAGACCATTTTTGAGGCACTCACCTTTTATTCAAACAAATCATTCACTTCAGCAAATAAAAGGAATTTGACCTAACGTGAACTTTTTTTTAAGGCTGGATGTGTTCAGAAAGTTCAACCCCATCACTGAATGGATGGATGGATGAATGGATGGATGGATGGATGGATGGATAAATGAATGGATGAATGGATGGATGGATGAATGGATGGATGGATGAATGGATGGATGGATGGATGGATCTTGAACTACAGGAATGATTTTGAAACTTTCAGAAAGCGTCCATAAATGATTGGTATCAAACCAATTAGAAATCAACACAAAAACGGTCACAACTCAAACAATTTTGCAGACATTAAGCTGAAATTTGATGTGGTAGTAACCAAGCCCCAACATAATATATTGACAGCTGATGATATTGATTTTTGGAACCTCAGCATTAAAGACTAATTAACGGATAATTACATATTTAAGGCATTAGACGTAGTTTACTTTTGGTCTCTTTGAATATCCATTGCAGGTTCTTGCTTGGCTCAGTGGTGTTGATTTGAGCTGTTTAGGTGCAAAAAGAAGGAGGAGGGGGGCGGGTCTGATCTGAAGCAGGGGTGTGAAGAAGAGGAGGAGTGTAAAGTTGAGACTGAATGGGAAAGATAGCGATCGGAGTTTAGTTAGAGGGACAGGAGGGCAAGAAGCTGTTCTGCTGCTTGATTAAAGACTTATTTATGAATTATTTTTAAACCTAAGTGGATTTTTTTGTCTTTGTTATTTAACTGCTTTTTTATTCTTCAAACTGGAGGAAAGTGGCTGTTTGCGTAAAAAGCGCTCATCTGATCCATTTTACGCACGGGGTTTTTTGGTGGAATTTATGCAATTCTTCACCTTCACCTTCACCTTTACGCAACTTCTGATGGACACTGACAGCTGGGWTTAACTTTCAATAAGAACTTTAAACTACAGAGAAAAGAGAGCGGAGTTTCTTTTTTTATTTTTTTTTTAAATCGCAATAAGAAAATTGGCGCACTTGAGCTGATTGGAGCGTCAGAAACCGCTCGGAGAGGCGCTGATTTCTGTTCATGTCTCAACCCAGGAGCGTGTCCCCCCGTGCTGGCTGCTTGGCGGTGACAGTCATGGACAACGGGCCTGTGCTCAGAAGGCGGACCGGTGCTCTCCCACATGTGCTGCTGGCGGCCGTCTACCTGCTCTGCGGCTCCCAGCTTCTGCTGGTGGACGCAAACTCGTGGTGGTGAGTGTCACATGTATCCCTGGTGAAATATCACGCACATTTGGTGGTTTCCAAGAGATCAGCTGAGGGAAATCTTTTTTTGTGCACATTTCCAACACTATATTTACCCCCTGTTGTGATCAGAAGGTGAGTGTGCGTCATGCTGCTGCTACATCAGTGTGTATTTGGCGGCTGATGGATTTGCATCATGATGCTTCGGTTGTGTAGTGGGGCTGCGGTGTTGAATGGAACAAATGTGAAGATCTTGTCACAATATTTACTCTGGCTGAGCTCCAAATGGCACAGCATGGCGGGATGCTGCTGAGGCTTCAGGGCCCCCCAGTTATCCACACTTACTCCTAAATTAAAACTAAAACTGTCTGTGCCAGAGGAGGATAAATGTGRTGATTTATGAAATCATGATGCAAAATCAGAATAGGATTATTATTATAAGGAGAATGCTTAATGCATGTTTATGCATGCAGGTCTGTTAGTAAAATATCTYRTGAAATACTGGAAGAATTTTAAGGAAAACGCAGAAAGTGCTCAATGGATAGACTTCTGTTCAAGATGGCTGCCACAGCTACCCTTGGAAAACACATTTGCAGATTAATATTTGGTGTATAGAAGCTCTAAYKTTTAAATATATTTCATAACGYATTAAGATTTTAATGAATGTAASTGAGTAACTTTTGGAGYCAGTCTAATTCAAGATAGCCYCAAAAACTAAATGTTCTTTWWAAAAAAAGTTAATTTATTTACACATTGTGCTAAAATTGTGGTAAGAGCTGAATAATTCATTGCAAACGCTCACCAAAAAATTGCTTAAACTTTAGTATAAACTCTTAGTCAACCCTGTTTGTGTTAGCAGAATATCCAATATACCACTGGGCTGTTTTTATTGAGGGAATTATTGGAACTATGTCTGATTAACTTGTGAAGTTAATCTAATTAAAGCTAATTGTTGTTAACCACCACTAAACTCAGATAATGTGCTAACTACAGAAAAACTGGCTATAATTCAGTCATTTTTGCACACATTGTGCTACTTTGGTGTGATAATAGCCAGAAGTCATTCACAACACACCCTATGACTCCTAATGTGCTTACATTTATTTCAAAGGTTTGACCAAAGTGGCAMCTCTGTTATAAGCTGATCTAAAACTCTGAAGTGATGTGCATTGTTTCAAGAAATGCCTTTAATTATGAAAGAAATTTGAGGGTGTTGGAAAAGAATCATAAAAAGCAGAGGTTTCTCCACAGGAGTCTATTTATCTGAGTTTTATTGGCCACTTGTCCCAATAAAACTTGGGCCTGAGCTTTGTCCTCCACTGGGCTGACCTCATCGATCACAGACACCAGGTCTGGGCTCGGTTCATTGTCTCTAAGTGAGCATCAGCTCTTTTAGCGCTTTAAATCACATCTTAATGTGTCCTCTCTGTTCCAGGTCTTTGGGTCTGACCCCGATCCAGCGACCTGAAATGTACATTATAGGAGCCCAGCCTCTCTGCAGTCAGCTGTCCGGTCTTTCCCAGGTAAGGTTTGTCGTCAGATGTTTGATCTGTTTCCTTCTCCGCTCTGCTCCTTCCGACTGTTTGAACTGGTCAAACAAAAGTGGGAATCTCCCCGCAGGGACCACCAACGCATTAAAACCATTAACCAGCTAATCTGCGCTAATCTTTCCTCCCCCTCTGCTGCTGTGTGGCCTGCAGAGTCAGAGGAAGCTGTGCCAGCTGTACCAGGATCACATGACCTACATCGGAGACGGAGCCAAAACGGGCATCAAGGAGTGCCAGTACCAGTTCAGACAGAGGAGGTGGAACTGCAGCACGGTGGATAACACATCTGTGTTTGGACGGGTCATGCACATCGGTAAATAAATAATAAAAAAACATYGTTGTCAGAAAGTTTTGASTTAYAATCTTGTGTTTCAACCTTTTATAAAGCTGTCTCTTTTTGGTTTATGAGTTTATTTTAAAAGAAAATATGTCACCAAAAGACATACTTTTCATGGGTTTCTAATAAAGTCAAAATCTTTTCAAATGACGCAATGTGTCATAAAATATTAGTGGCAAAGACTGTTTTGTATGATTACTTTGAAACAAATATCTGATAAAGTTCAGCATGTTTTTAATTGTGAAGCTTCTTCACATACAACCATTTTTCACACATTCCTTATTTAATATTGGAGTTATTTTATCAGCAAAATAAAAGATCCTTAAAAAGTGCAGCTTTAATGAGTTGGTTGTTTATCAAAAATATTTAATGAAAACTGGATAGATTTTAATGAAAATCGCAGGAAGTAATCTTTAGATGTACATCTACAACTGGTAAACCTTTGGAGCAAACATAATTAAAGATGGCTGCCACAGTCAATTGTGCTTTAAAAACACAAAAATGTTTGTAATTAGTGAATTTAACAAATATTATGGGAAATGTTGGTTTTATAGTAGTGGAAGCCCATTTACACAACATAGGCTACTCCGAGGTCTACTTATGATATATTTGCTCAAAACTAGCATTAACTGTTAACTGTTTTAAAAAACCACATATTAGAACAACCAGGAAGAGTTTTTGTTTATCAGTGTGTGGAGTAAATGTTTGGAATGGATTGAAT